CGGAAATATCATGCATGGGGCCAGCCAGATGAAACGAGCCGTACCAAGAGCTGCCACGTACACGTGCATGTATGGAACACACAGGCACATGATAATTCAGATTCCAGCCGCACAAGACGACGCGCTCGCACAACGCGCAACGCGAAACCGGTGTATGCACGTGAAAAAACAATATAATCGCCGGACAATATCAAGTCGTGAGTGCAAAGCCGTGATATCAGATGTGCGGTGAGGAGGAAGGCAATGGCGGAGAAGCAAATCCTCGGAGTGGTTGCGCACCCACGCAACCATTCACGGAACCGCCCATGTCTCGGGGGTGCATCCGTGACGTGCGGATCGAGACGCCAAACAGTAGCAACAGCTCGAGACAAGCAATAATGCCCGCCTACCGCTATGAGCCGTACCGTGATACCATGAATCCCAGAGTGGGCCGAAGGAGGGAGATATGGTCGCCGGAATAAGAAGCCGCATATCGCGCTATCAATTCAGCGATATATTGGCATGCCATCCGTTTCCTTCCCAAAATATCAATATCATCAAGGTTGTATTGGCCTGGTGGTGTGGACATCGGGCATCGGGAGGTCCTTGGCAAGCGGTGTCGTTGGTTGCATGTGCGTCTGCATGTATGGCTTTTTTCACGACCTGTGTGCCGTCGTGCTGGGTAAAGCATGAAAGGAGGGGGAGAGAGAACGAGATGCGGGCCGAGATATGCTGCTGCTGTGGATGGTTACTGTTGAGACAAGAAAGAAAGGTGATATAACTCACCCCGTCCACCACACACGGCAGTAGCTGCTCGCATCCCCAAACTCACCTCAATTGCTTACCTGCTGCTGCTATTGCCTTTGCCTGCCCTACACGAGCAAGATAAGACAAGCACAAAACTAGAACAGAGTGTGCCGGCACCTCGCCAACTCAAACGAACGCGCTCTCCTGGACCGGCCGCCCTGCTGATAGTCGCTCCGGACTGCGGGGATCCTCGATGCACCTTGGAGGACGAATGAGATAGCTCCCATCCGGCCCCCGGGCATTGAGATCGTTTCTTGCCAAGCGAAGCATTCAACCTCAGCGAGGAGTAAAAGCAACAAATCCTCCGCCGGTCGGTTCTCAACACTTTCTTTAACTTCAAACTCTCGTTTTGTATCCCTCAAGGTGGTCATCGATTATCGTGTCGACCATCCATATCGACCTCGATCTCGAAGGCGACCCCACATTTCCGAATCCATAGCGCTCTTTTGGCATTTCGCAAACGGGCACACGGCAGGCCAGCCCAATGCTGCACTGTGCCACTCAGTGTGCTGATCTGATCGACCAACCGCCGCAGCCACCCCCGCCGACATTTCCCAGCTCTGTTCGCCATGTCATCCGCAACCCCAGCCCTTCCCTTTCGTTCTAATGAAGACTGGAGTTATCTCGGGCATCATTATCACCGCGCAACAACCACCACCGGCGCCGATCAAATTGGGTTATTAACCACCAACACCAACGCTATACCCCGCGGCGGTGGGGTAGATACCGACGCCGAGTCCACCTCCACCATGGGCTATCACGCTTATGACTATGCCGAGTCCGAAAATTATACCACCGATCCGAGGGCCGGCCCGTCACAAACGCTTCGATCAATTGCTGCATCGTCGAGATCAACAGATGCATCCTCGGTCTTCAGCCGCCGTCCTGCAGGACGTCGCGGCAACGATGACCGGAGCTCGGTAGGAACGAGCTCAGCACCACCTCGACAAGCTCCACACAGGTCGTTCGTGCAGCAGTTTGCCCACCAGTTTGTTCCTCCTACTGCCCCTGCCCTCACCATAGCCGGTCCGTCTGCGACAGCCGCAGTGCCAACGGCGACCGGGTCATTCGTGCTATGGTGCGAATTCTGCGCGCTGCAAAACTGCAACGCGACGTTTCGAGGCGACGACGAGGAATCGTGGATCGCACACCACGAGTGGCACGTGGGGGATCGATACCCTAAAGAACTCATGTGCTGGTTCTGCGATCATATCCCGTTTGTGGCCAGACATAATAATGAGAGAAGGGATAACTTCCGATTGAGGATGCAGCATATTCGTACCCATATCTTTTACGACTACCAGACGCGCGACGATATGCGGCCTGACTTTCATATGATTGAGCATCTCCACAAGAACAGGTTGATTGATGACGGGCTGTATCGACACGCCATGAGATATGATGAGCTTCCTCCGGAGTTGAGGCTTCCCGGACTAGCTGAGGCAAACGCCAATTTGGGGGCGCCGGTGATCAGCGGAAGATTGACACACCAGGAGAGACGGGAGTATCATGATCTCGAAAGAGAGGAGAAAAGGCAAAGGAGAGAACAGAGGAACAAGGACAGGAAGGGCAAAAGGCCTGATACGAGGAAGTGGTAGACCCTTCGCGTCAAAAGGGCGGGGAGCCGTGCGGTGAAGACCGCTTACGCCAGGCAGCACTTGCGGGCAGCGGCATGTTTCCCATGTGATGAAGGCCCATTTCGAGCCATTGTCGGGGTTGGTGCGTCCGCTTGTGGAACCAGTTTCTCTCGACGGCGACTTTTCGCAGCGTGCTCGAGCCTTGCTTTGCTCTCTTCTTCGCTTCTTCGTATGCGTTTTGTTGATTCTGGGTTCGCTGTTCCTGATTCTCGTTCGTGCTTTCTGATGTTTGGTGTTTTGCTGTGCAACAGATCAGAGGGGTGCTGTGGCGGAGGGTTGCCCCGGCTTATATCGCTGATCTCCCCGCAAACGGACACCTGCGCTCGACTCCAGCCACGAGCCCGGGTCAAGGCGGTACTTTTGTGTTGAGGGCCAGCCTCGCGCTATCGTCTCCCCTCTTTTGGTCTCTTTGTCTGATGTCTGATGTTTCGATTCTGATTCCCCATTGCTGTTGGTTATTAAATCGGGGCACAAAAAGAGGGTTCACCTGGGATATATGGCACCGGGAGACTAAGGATAGTTTCCGGGAATGGCGATGGATGACGACGATGATGATTGATGAGTAACGACAGTATATCGACGACAGAATGGTCCGGTTATTGAGACTGTGCGAGGCGCAGTTGAACACCGGCCGTATTGGTTTTTTTTTTTTTTCCCTTCTTTTGAGGTTTCTTCAGCGTGTACGGCGAGTCTTTTGTATTCGTTTTCTTCTCGGTCGTTTGCCTTCACACCCCTCCTCCCCTCTTTCACATGCTCCGTGGTGGTGGTAGTGAATACAAGCGAGCATGATCATTCCTTTTTTTCAGGGATAAACCCCGCTCAGTTATATTATGTTTTCTTTTCGGATGAAACCACAGGATTCAGAATGTACTGACGGATTTCTCATAAGTGAGATATGATACGTTTCCCGCGGGGCTTCGGGCTATCACAGCCTGGGTAGAACCTTGCTTTGGGGAGGCAGATATAGAAAAAGGTTACTCAAGGCCACACATATAAAAGTCATGGGCAAACAGTTAGCTGAAGATTGTTGCTGAAGAGCGTTTAGAACACACACGACACGCAGATAATTTTGAACACGGTGGTGTGTACGCGTTGACGTTTTTTGCTCAGCCCCCCCCCTTCGCCTCTTTAAAAGAGTGTGTGTGTGTGTGGCGAGAGAGTGACTCTGTAGTCTCATTGGTTGGCCCTTCACTTCACCGACTTTGGAGGACGTGCATGTGCGTGCGCCTTTTCTGTGAACAAGGAGTTCTCAGAAAGATTCTGTCGGAGTAGTATTAGCCCGCTAATCAATACGTTATAGGCGACCAAAGCTGCGTGGGGATCTGTTCAAATATCTAATTTTTTTTTTTTTCTGCGAGCTCAAATGCATGCTCTCGCCCTGGTTACTGTAGTATGTACATACCACCACGGCTGACCGGACCTCATCCGCGGGGCCTCAGCCCCCCCCTCCTGATCACACAGCCTTTTCCAAGGTTTTGTCTCCAGGCTTTTTGGATGGGGTTTCCGATGTGCAAGCAAAGTAAAAAAGCAGGCATGCTTTCCTCTGTGTGTTTCTGCGAGTTGGATGTGGCAAGAGGCAAGAGAGGCAAAGGCAAAGCAAGGCAATATCTTTGTCTGTCTGTCTTCCTCATTCGTCCCGCGCCCCGCCCGCCCTTAAATCATTTTCACCGACAAAAAGTTAGTTCATAGGACTCATATTTTTTGCTGCGTTTGCAATTGCATTGCATTGCGCTGCGCCTTTTCGTTAACACAAAGTTCTCTCTCTCACTGTTTTCCTCAAACTTAAGATCGGTATACTAGTTTTACAGAGTACACAGGCGGGCACATTATGGGTTTTAATTACTACTGTGTAATATGTATGTATGTACAGTACAGTAATACAGTAATACGGTACATGCATGAGGCAACTACGGACTCACACCGACAGTTGGGACCCTGACTCAGACTTCATCCAGTCCAGTGCCGTACGAAGCACAACGAAGCAAGTCGCGACGCTAAACTGATCTGAAGTCGGTACATACAGTGGCTGGACGAAGCTGAGTTTAATACTATGTACAAGTAGGTTTTATCCTTCAAAAAAGTGCTTCTTTAACCCTTTTTTCTGCTTCCCGCATGTGAGCGAAGGCAAAGCAAACCCTATTATAACTTTCTGTAATTATTCCCCCGATTCACGATCACGCAGTCCCAGTCACCGACTATTATTAAATATACTGCCCCCTGCCGTGCATCACCTAACGACAGCATGTTCTTTCCAGTTTTGACTACCTATGTGTGCTTGAAGAGAGAGGCGTGAAATAGATGCGCTTGCCCGTGCGTTAACCACCTGGCTTACCTTATACATAAGTATGTACATTCTCTTCGTCACTTCACTTCACTGACAATTAAATTCCCTCTTTCCTACGAGGAATAACAATCATCTTTACCAATATAATATGCGTTCCCCGCATACCGCAAGAACGTAGTACTACGCAGGCATATTATAATACCTAGGTAGTCTTGCGTGATTTCTGTTTTCAAGTTGCTACGTGCGCATGGTCACGTAAGTGTAAAGAATGCTTGGTGTCAAGTAAGAAATTAGGGCGTATGGTCTAGTGGTATGATTTCTGTTTTGCAAACACCTCAAGTTTTCCAGCTAGAGGATAAAAAAAATGCTCATACAGACGGTCCCGCGTTCGATCCGCGGTACGTCCATTTATGCACTTCACTAGGCGTGGTTCTTTTTTGATGCTTCCACCTATTATGTTGCTTTTTTTTTTTTTTTTTTCACTTACTTGTATGATCGCATCCCCGACTTAAGTAAAACTTATCAAGTAAAGAAGGCTTAAGAAAACCTAACCTTTTTTTTTATTTTTTACTCGAGTGGGAACTTCCAGCAGCATCAACATCAACTTGACGTGTGATAAGCGTAAAGCGAAATCTCAGTCTAAAAAGGGCCGTTAAAAATCTTGTGAAGAAACCGGGAAGAAAAAGAACACAGTGTATAACTGATGTGCTTGCTTTCCGCTATGCTATGGTGCAAACGAAATCCACAAGATATAGATAACCAAAACAAAACCCAAGGACAAACAAACAAGAAACCCCCGCTTTGCTGGCTATATCGATGGACACACACACATATGTATATATATATATATTGCAATGTAAATAACAGCCAGAGATCGCTCGCGCCTTTTTTAGCATTACCTCCAACCAAACAACCCAACCCAACCGAAAAGAGAGAGAGGGTGCTAGTGAAATTCAGCATCGACCCGCCCATACCTGACCCCATCCACCTTGAGCTCAAACCCCAGCCCCGCGCTGTCGACAATCATTTCCAGGGTGAAGTCGAGGTTGTCAAACTCTACTCCCCTCGTGGTCGTCAGGCGGGTAAACAGACTCCTCGGGACGGCATTTAGGTCTGTCGTTAATGTGCAGACGTGCACGAGGTCGCGGGTGTACGCCTTTGGAGGTTCGTCCGCCTCGCACGCAATCAGATCGTCCGTTACGACGAGCGACTGCCCCGGGCGGAAGTTGCGCGTGTAGTGGAATGCGATGGGACTGAGCGGGGATATTGCCTCTCCCTAAACAACTGTTGGTACCTCCTCATCCCAAAACCAAAACCAATAGCCAAAAAGGGGGCCAAGAAACACAAGAAAAGGGGGGGTTTACCTTAGCAATATGCCACTGCATCCGATCAGACACCATCCACCGCTCCCACAGTGGGCTCCAGTACCTCTCTGTAACTGAATGTTTCTCTTCATCATACACCGTGGCGTAGCTTGTGCCATAATGCATCCTGGCTTTCCGGCTTATCACCATATTCCCTTCCAGCCCTCGCAAGACCGCTCCGCGAACGACAGCGGTCCATGCATAAACCGGCTGCATCACTTCTATAGACGTGTTCTGCGGATCGCCGAGACTGCTGGTGCTCGCGTGCGCGTGTGTCGGTCTTTCAGTGTAAGGTGGCGGCGCTGCGCTGGTCGTAAAGCGTCCTTTTAGTCTTCTGTAGAGGTAGTCGCTCTGTCCGAAGCCACCAACGAGAATAATGCCAGACACAACGCCGCCTTTGGCTCTCAGTGTGTCGACCTGCCCCTGAACCAGATCGCACACCTCTTTAACGACGGGCTCGAAAATGTCCTTGATCTGCTCGGCCGTCATGACCAAGAAGCCAGAGTCCAGGCCGATTTCTTCGTCGTCTGGTAATCCTGGGAATCTACACACATGCACATAGTATGGTTAGCTGTAGACAGGAAAGGGAAAGGGGAACAAAAGGGGGGGGGGGGTAAACGTACGGAACATTCATCTCTTCGTGCTCGTCCTCGTTAAAGTTGCGCTTCACAAACTCTTCAAAATACCGTAGGCCCATCTGCCATGTCTTGCCCTTCTTGACCTTCATCTCGTCAAACCTGCTGTGTCCGAGGCGATTCCGGACGTGCTCTTCGAACCTATAGTTCAAAAAGGCACTCCCACAGAGACCGCCGGTGCCCACAGCTGATTCTTCTACCCTCAGAGGTTTGAGAGAGATGATTTTGTATGCTATTAAACTGCCCCACTGTCAGTCCTGAACAAACATCTGAAAGTAAAGACGAACGAGTAACAAAGGTAAAAGAGACTCACTCGACTGTCCCACCACCACCGTCACACACGATAAAGTTATCCCCCACAGACAGATGATTCGGCTGGATCGCCTTCAGCGTGTACACGGCAGCCGCCTCGGGCTCGCTGATCATCTGGATCTGCGACTTGGCGCCCATGCCCGCCCGTTCCGCCGCCTGGAGGGTGGTGTTCTTGGCGGCGTCGGACCAGACGGCCGGACACGTGAGCACAAAGTCCACCTTGGTCGACGCCATGAACGACTCGCCGTACCGCCGCGTGAGCGTGTCCATCGTGTGCTTGTGGATCTGCGTCAGGTAGTCGCTGACCGCGTCGACCACCGTCTTGTTGAACCGTTTGAGCTGCGCCGCCGTCTCCAGGGGAGACACGTAAAAGGGCAGCTTTTGTGAGCGGTCGAGGAACAGCTTGATGCACCGCAGGCGCGACTCCTCGGGCTTGAACTGAAACCCCCATTTCACGGTCGGTTGCGTCCCGGGCGGCGCATGGGGCGGTAGATCGTACGATATCTCGGTGGGCACCTTGTCTGACGTGATGCCGTTCCCGCCGGGCCACGTCTTGATGATCTCGATGTCGTCTGGTGTTGATGTGTACACTGCTGCGACACTGCAACATACCGATGTTAATATACTCTCTCTTCCCATCCGCAACTGTGAGAGACAGACTCACCCCGAGAAAGTAGTCCCAAAGTCGACACCGACAATGAGCCGGTCGCTGATGGGCGCCGACTCCCTGGCCGGCTCTCTCACCGGTGCGCCATTGATGGCCTCGGCCCCTGAAGGCGACGTCGGCGGCGGCGACGTCTGCGTGATGTAAGTGCTGGTGGTAAAGTAGTTTCTGCTGTCGCGGTTGCGCTGGCTCGGCGATGACTGGTGAATCGGCAGATTGAAGTTCATGGTAAACTATGTCTGTGGTGACAATGCCATGAACGAGCAGCACAGCGGCAGTGGTTGCAGTGAGACGCGCGAGAGAGAGAAAGTATGTGTTCTCTCAGCTATCTAGTTATGTCCCTAGGCACTAAGGTTACTACAGCAGTTCTAAGGAAAATGGCGGGGCTGAGAACGGCAACACCTTTGGGTTCCTCCTGTTCCTGATTGCGACCCGTGTAAATTGACGAATGACGTATAGCTACGTAAGCTTGGAGCACCAGGAACGCGACAGCCTAGACTGATTCTAGGGGACGTATGTTTGTGTGTTTGTGGTGATTTGTCGAATCCTACGATGCTGAATGCTGCTGCCTTGTCTCCCTGTCTGCCTGGACCTAATCCGCGGGTATAGTACGAAGACCCCCGCGATGCGATTGGGGATGGCGCGGGGCTGAACCGGCCGCATGGCAATGTGCAGCAGTTTGCCCGCTGTCGCCCTGCTAACTGACAGCATGGGGACGCACCGCCCCGATGTGCTCCACGTGATCTCTCCATGAACGCCCATGTCATTTCATGCGCCGAGTGAGTTGTGATAACGAGAATTACAGTCCTTTCATGTCTAGAGGCGAGATATCTGTGCGCTGCGTCGAATGCTTTGCCAAACGTTGCGGTATGACCTAGGAAACATAGGAATGCACCTGAACTTCCGTGCATTGAGAATCGCTTGCAGATATAACGTTAGGAGGTTTTGGCACTCCGTAGATTTAACTAGTGTGGAGCAGTTTCGCACATAGATGACTGTGCACAAATGCCCATGTCCTCTTGAGCCCGTTTTTAGCAGTTCATGCACACAAGCTACGTGCGAAAAACTCGAAATGATATTCAACAACATTAGCAGCATTTCTCCAAATCCTGCCCCAAGAGAGCAACCACGCCACTATATACATCGTGCCGAAACCCTTCATTCTCTAGGCTGAGGTCATACTCATAGGTGTGGCAGTGCAGACACCGTCGGACAGCGCTCCCGTAATTTGAGCCTGCCATCTGCTCCACCTTGTGCAGAAGCGGCTGGGCAGCGTCATAGTCGGACAGAATGTCGGATTCCAACTTGCCCGACGCAGCTGTTTCATGCACAGGCTTCCCAAGGACGAGCTCGATAAGCAGTATGCCTAAAGAGAGCATAGTTGGATTGTACCAGACAGAAGCCTTCGTCGGCGATGCCGCCGTGGTATGGTCACGGTCTGGTACTCTCTTCACAACAAAGGCATGCTCATACAGTGGAGCGTTATCTCGCTGAATGAAGACGATATCCTCGCTCCTAAGTCTGTCGGGAAGCCATGGCGTATGGTGAAGCTGTATCACGCTCGAGGAGATCACCACAGCAAGACGCACACGGTCGCGGTACGTCAACGGCGGTAGCTTTCCGGGTGGAGATTCCAGGACTTGCCTCAGGGATACTGTCGACCGCTTCTCGCCGTCGATGGCTTTCTCGAGCGGGTATATCCCATACTCGCGACGACTTGTGCCTGTGCTATCCACGATATGCCCGTAGCATTGTTGCACTGGCTGCTTCTTGGCCTTGCGCAGTGTGTCGCAGAGGTTTATGGGCAGTGGCAGGAGCTTCTCCGGCGTCCCTAAAGTCGCGTCGAGGGCCAAGTTAACCATTGCCGGGACTGGCGTCGCTGAACTTGGCTGGACCTGGGTGAGAACCACGGTACTCGCATTGCTAGTCACCGTGGTTGTAGTTGACTGCGGTCGCATGAAACTAACAGCTTTCCGTTTGCCCTTCTTTGCCGGATTTAAGTTGTGAGACGGCAGAGCCATGGCTACACGCGTCGACGCTGTTGTCTCCTTGATGACCACTTCATCCCAAAACTGCACCTTCTCTATTAGTTGATTGTCGGAGTCCGGGGCGATGTGGCTTGAGATTGCAATCATGAAGGAGAACTCTTTGGTGATCTTCTCGTCCTCGTCTAGTGAGGTGAAATCAGCTGATCGCGCAGCCAGTTGCAGGTTGAGGTCATGGGTGCCCTGGCACACGAGACTGTTCTTGAGAGCACGATATATGCTCTTCGAGATCTCCCTGAGAAGACTGAAAAGGCGACCCTGAGAGCGCATCTTTCGCTTGGGCTCCAGCTCGACGTTTTGCGTTGTGAGGGTCACGAGGCTGGCAATGCCGTCCTTGATCCTTGCCAACAGGTCGTCGTAGCTCGCCTTCTTTAGTGAGAACGTTGC